AGGAAAGAAACATTTCTTTTTCCTTCTGATGATTCCATAAACATTCTAAGCTAGTAAATAAGCCAATAAATATGCAGCGACCACTTTCCTGCGACAGCATGGGCGGTTGGTTGGGCACAACTTTATGACAGATCCGATCAACCCCCAACAGATTTTTGCCGTCAAAATTATTAGTAAACAGTTGTGATCAGTAGTAACCCCCCTAACTAGCACCAGAAATATTCAATTAGGTCCTGCGGCAACTACAAGCGAGCCATGCTCTTAACTGTATGGCGGCTGGAGGGAGCAATTTGGCTGGCCTGCAGATTTTGACATCTCAAATCAGAGCAGCCGTCCTGGACTTCTTCAAATTTTGGGCACCTGATGGTACTACACATTTGTGATCTTGGTGGCGCATAACCTTTGCTCTTCAAGTCTTCATGGCACCCCATCACCGGAATCATTATGGTCTTGATGGAGCGGAGCCACATCCCCAAATTCTTAACCCATGATGTCAGTCGATTTGGTCCCCATCGAACACTACTACTAAACTGGAAAATTGCTGAGTTCGTGCGTTGCGTTTAATTGTTTTGATACTAGCTCTGAAGGACCTATGGCCATACCTCACAGCATGCCACGACCCGTTCTCTAGCGTGTTAGTCTTCCTTCCTGGTTCGCGGTTGGCAGTTGCTCGTGTAGTGTCACCGGCCAGCTGCCCATGAAATGAGCGTTGCATACAGACATCGTGTGTGCGGTGTGCCACTTAAGGCAGGGTTGGGTTCTCAGTTAAGAAGAAGCAAACAGTTCGGTGTGATTGAAAACTACCCTTTCTTGTCCATCCATCTTGCGAAAAAAACAGAGTAAAAAAAAGAACAAGAGCATGAGTTACGTCTGTGATTCCTGTTCGAGAAACGGTTCCAACTTCCGCCTCAGGGTCTTGTGATAAAATTGATATAGGATTTGGCATTGCTGTCCTCCAGGGTGCCTGGCTAAGAAAAGAGAAAGGTCTCTCGCCACTCCAGTGATTTTATTAGACATCCTCTTTCCTCATCACACACTACCGCGGTCAAGCTGCACTTCAATTCCATCACTAATGGACGGACCGTGCAAAAAAAAAAATCTCGAATACGCAGGAGATCTGCTATCATTGCATTATAGAGAGAAAAAAAATCAGCCCCTTAGAAGTACCACCACTTCACTCCTGGCCGGGCTGTGAGAGGTTGTTTCTTTACATCGAATCACTTAAACTAAAAGAACTGAGAAGAGGTGAAACCTGACCACAAAGAACACCAACCAACTAAACCAATGTAATCTATCCTAGCCCAACACCGTGACCCAGACTTAGCGTGCGCAGGCCACGCGCTCCCACCGAGCACCAAAGGTGATATTCGTCTCTGAACTCTTCAAACAGCCTAGTGATGCAGGGGTGAGACCCTTCAAAAGCGCAAGCATTTATGTGCTTCTAAAGGATCCAATAACCTAGAATGATCATTGTGTTCAGCCCCTTCTTCTTCTCCTTTGGAATTCTCTTGGTTGCTTTTCGCCACCAATCAGCGAATGATTTCTCTCGCCTTGTGGGAGTCCGATCTTGCTGTCCCAAAGGAGTCAGGATCCGTGACCAAAATTCTCGAGCGAGGACACATATACAGCATGTTCGCTTGGTCGTAAACGATCGTGGATTATAAGTCAGAACAGTATTTTTCTCTCACATCAAACCAGCCAGCAGTAATAATCCACGATCGCTTCAGCCGAAACGAACAGGCTGATAGTAAGCAGATGCTGGACCGTCTCATCTTCTTGATCACACAAGGGGCAGTGGGTCGGGTGAGGTAATCCTCTCTTGGCCAATCGGTCCGCCGTCCAGCACCTGTTTCGGATTGCTAGCCATAAAAATAATTTGCACTTTGCTGGCGCCCAGGATTTCCATAGACGTCGCCAAGGCGCAACCGCAAAGGTGATGGAGCCATTGAAGAACGCTCGATATGCAGATTTTGAGGTAAACTGGCCTGACCCTTCTAATCTCCGAACATGGACATCGTCAGCCTGAGAGAGGATTGCCTCATGCAATATATCCCATAATTGAAAATATTCAAAGAAACCCACCAATGAGAAACCCCCACTGATGTCAGCAGGCCAAGCATGATCTTGTAAGGCGTCGGCCACCGTGTGCTGTTTGCGAGTGCGAGATGGGACTGCAGCAACCACCGTTGGTGCCAAGTCCTCCAAACAGCAGACCATGAGCCACTTATCCTCCCAAAATAGAGTATTTCTTCCATTACCGACCTTAGATCCCAATGCAATGTTGAAAAATCAGATTCAGATTCCACTTATCTACATCACTAGGTTAGGGCGTATTTGGTTCTCCCCTTGCCGGAGCTGCCTGGTCAGGCAGCGCTTCGTGGCGTCCGATTTCAGTCGCCTGGTAGATGGTTGCCTAGGAGTCCACGAACCAAACACCCTAAGTTTCCCCGTGCGAGAAACACCCATGTGTATGACCTTCAGGCTAAACGCAATTGGGTCAATCCCCACGTGACTAATCCAAGTCCAATCAATTGGCTTTTGCCTTATACTACAGATTAAGAAAACGCATTGTTTCTAAGGGGAAACATGTTTTTTGTTCGCCTTCACATATAATCTAGTATATACTTTCTTTCTTTCTTTTTTGAGGAAGGAGGGAGTATATACTTGGGTCCGATTCGACCCCGGGAGCCTGGGACTGGCCCAGGTCTCACTTTCACTATACATCTGTCCACTGTCCACATGAAACACCGATCGAAATGGACAGTTTGCAATGTACCTGAAGAATTCGAGGACCAGCTGGATGTTGGAGGCCAAGCCAGCAGTTGGCCAGGTATAAATCGAATGAAGACCAGCAAAGCATTGGTCATAGAGTCATGGTAATGTTCCAGCTTGGTGTCTACATTGGCCTCTTGGATTGCACTGATGATGCCTTCGAGACAGCCTAGGACTAGCTACCTTGTGGAAGTGGCTAGGCCACGCATAGAAATTCTGAGGTTGAGGCAGTGAAAAAACTTCTGGAACAAACCAATCCGATTCCAGTATTCTTCGAGCCCACATTGTTCAAGTAATGTTCCTTAGGGAATGCTGTCGTGCTGACATTGTTTGGTGGCCTCTTGGGCGATTTTTTTTTTTTTTTTTTTTTTGGAATGCCTCCAGGTGCTCTGATTTGTCAAGAAAGAGATCTAACTGGTGGTCAAGAAACACTTGTTTACAGCCAGGAGCATGGTCTCTGCAAATGAAACCTAAATGCAGCAAAAGGTTGCTTGCAGCATAGCCTCCTTCTGTCTTTGCTGGTCTACTTGGCTTCATGAACATACATAACTGGTACAACTGCAGGCCACAGTATGCGCAAACTACCATACAATATATGCGTGTTTTGCACAGGATCAGATTACAGCGTGCTGAGCACACCAAATACCCCAGTTTTCGCTGTACTGTGTTGATGGAGATGTCTAATCAGAAAGACTTGTCATTGTTTTGCACTGCCTTAAAAATGTCAAGTATACAATCTTGTGCATCTAATTTCCAACACGTACTTGAACTGCGGCACATAGCCTCAAGACATGCTTCAGATGGCACAACCAGACCCAGCTATATGGAGAAGGATAGAGCTGCCTGTTGCAAAAGTTTTTGCATTGTTAGAGGAGTAAAAAGCAAATGCCACTGTGTAGGCGGAGAATTCTCTCCATGCTTATTACTTCATGTCTTATTTCTCCTATACTTTTTTTTTGTTCTACATGGGCACAGACAGATGAAACAGTGCCAACCAGCATAAAACTTTACTAGAAGAGAACATGATCTGAATCATTTGACTTCAGATGGTGCATGACATAACATTCAACAGTTTCTAGTGAAGTCTACAATGTCAAAAGCAGCAGTGCAGCACAGAGACGAGCTAGGATCACTGAAATAGTTTATGCTCATACTCTGAATTTAGTGACAAATATTGTTATGTTAATGTTATAGTTACTGCTGATTATGACATTCAAAATATGATGATCAACTTAGTTCGTTTAATTATCAAAACATTAATTGTTGACGATATTGCACTTAGGGTGATGTAATTCATCTAAAAAAATATCCATAAAGTAGGTTTAAAAGAAATACCTCCATAACAGAATCTAATGATGTGTCATTTCGGGGGCTTTCCTGTGAATCAGAAGGTCTCATATGTGATTCTATCATACCAAGCTGCCCATATACCTCCTTCAGCATTATGATCTGTTCCTTGCTAGTCCTAGGGTCACTTAACTCAACCATCTTTTCACTTTGCACACGCTTCAGCCTTGATCAGGTTCTCTCAACACCATCTCGTGGTGTGTAAGTTCCGGAGCTTCGACGGACATGTCTATCGACATTATTCATCGATCCAATTTTTCTTGTTGCAGCAAACCTGGACAGATTACGTGGCCCTCGCCCTTTGGTAACAACTGTGGGAGACGGTTGAGATTCCTCTTGTCATTATTTCATTTTCAGTACATGAGGAATCAATTGTCGTATTGCTTCTTTCTGGAATTTGGGGTGGATCAACTTCACTTAAAGGATGAACTACTAAACATGTTTCAGTGGATATGTTGTTAGATTGATCTCTAATCCCAAACTGGGCCCAACGGAATTTGGAGTGACAAAACCTGCTGAAAAAACTTCTGGAACAAACCAATCCGATTCCAGTATTCTTCGAGCCCACATAGAAGTTCAAGTAATGTTTATCATTTTCAGTACCTACACAAGAATCCTTGAGTTTATCATGATTTACTGTACATTCCATATCTTCCGTGGCCCGAACTGCTCCATCACTGCACATATCTGATTGATGACTCACCACTGAGAGCGAGGAAGAACACGGAGGCTCATCCAAAGTCTGAAAGTCACGTACACAAGAATCCTTGAGTTGATCATGGTTTACTGTGCATTCCATATCTTCCCTGGCCTGAATTGCTCCATCACTGCATATATCTGCCTGATGACTCACCACTGGGAACGAGGAAGAGCAAGGAGGCTCATCCAAAGTCTGAGTCATGTACACAAGAATCCTTGAGTTGATCATGGTATACTGTGCATTCTGTATCTTCCCTGGCCTGAACTGCTCCATCACTGCATATATCTGCCTGATGACTCACCAATGAGAACGAGGAAGAACACGGAGGCTCATCCAAAGTCTGAGATTCACGTAAAACACCACTGCTTGGAGAATGTGGTTCTTCACCATGCTTTCCTCTACTGTTCAAATCTGTTGAGAAGCTTTCCTTGGGCTCGAGAGCCATAACATCTCTTGAAATCTGCTCCCAACCGTCATCACTCAGCCTGCTCCTTGCTGATTGTACTCCACCATTTTTCTTGATGTCCATATCAATATATAGTTTATTCAACTTCAAAGTTGGCAGAGAGAAATTTCTTTTGATTTTATGACAAAGATTCTCCATGTTATTGCTTGCAAACAAAGATTTATCACTATCTATTGTCTCATCTGCAATGTCACAATCATCAATGCCAGCATCCAATAGCTTGTGTTTATACACCTGCAATTGGTTCCTCAGATACGAGATCTCCAATTCTTTCAGCTCCATGACCTCCTTCAGAATATCCAGTGCTCTGTTAGTGTGGTTGATCTTTTCCTCAGTTATTCTCTTGTACTGCCATGCTTCCATTCTCTCTGCATCCTTCTCTTTTTGAAACTTTCGAATCATTGACATGGCCGCACTTGCAGCAGTTGCTGAAGCTTCTCTTTCCACTTCTAACTCCATGAATAATTTTTTCATCATAATGTACTGGGCGAATATTGCTCTCTGTAACTGAATAGTATCGTTTTCTGCCATCTTGGTAAAAGATTCTGATTGATATTCAATGTTTGTCATTTGCCTTAAGATGAAAATCTAGATCCATCTGTCAGATCTGTACCATTTAAATATACATCGATCAGTGTTCTGAAAGATGCACTACCATAAAACTAGGATAAAAAGATGAGTTGACTAATCCTGTGTATGACATCACCAGAAAACTAGGATAAAAACATGAGTTGACTAATCCTACGCATGACTTCTTACAAGGAGCTTATTAAATCAATATTCTCAACAAACAGGCACTAGAATATGTCATAAGTATTATCTCTAGTAGTTGATAACTGCACATATGAGCAGAGAAGAACAGAACTCTTCCAGAAAACTTTTTTTTTTTTTTTTTGCGAATGAGAACTCTTCCAGAAAACTATATGTTCTAGAAAAGTAAACGGTTATGAAAAAAACAGTATTACCAACTTCAGTACAGGAATGCATGTATCACCGATGTTGTACAATGTATTATATAGGTATCTTATATACTCCTTGTTCAGTATCCCATGCAGTGTGTTGCAACTTATAAGTTTCTCATGAAATTATCATTTTAAGTTCTAGCCACAAGCATTTCATTTCTTTAACTAATCTCCTTAGATGGCCACATATTATTTACATTTCAATGGAGCTGCAAAAGTTTGACAATATTTCCAACATAAACATTTCTTGAAGCTTGAAGCTTGAACCAATTGTCACTAGGACAGTAGGACTTCTAAAATCACTTCAAATGCTAAACATCACAAGTCATGTATGAAAACAATATATGCCAATTCGACAGATATTTAGGCCCTTAATCTTGATCCCAGTTTCCAGTTTATCTCTACTCTTACTTCAATATAGCATCATTTTAATGTTTTGCATGCAGTTATTCCTGTGATACTCATAACTTACAAATTACAAACTTCAGCATTGATAATTTGATTAGACACCAGGTGTGTGAATTTTAGGGACAAGGCCAAGTTGTGGTTCTTATAGGCCACTGGTCGCAGTTCTGTTTTTCTGACAAGCACTCTTGTAAGAATCATGCCCTAACAGGTTTGTGTGAGTCTTCTTAGACCCACCCCCTTTTTCTATTTAATATAATGATGTGTAGCTCTCCTGCGTGTTCGGGGAAAAAATCTTTTATATTATCCTTCCATGACAAGCAGAGAAAGGTATAACGCCAGCAGCATATTTGATTCTCATAATTTATTTTACAAGGGAAAATGAAACCAATAAAGCAGAATTCAGAAGGGGAAAAACCAACTGGTCAGATTGAACTACTTGCCCTATAAAATCTCATGGTCTAAGTTTTGTTTACTAACAGCATCATCAATCATATTAGACAGCAGACCGACCTGCCAATATAAAACTTACTCAGAAACTATGTGGAACAATCGAACAACATGGTGGGTCAGGATAAAATTTATAAATGCACAATTAAGCCCATCTCAGGCAAGCAGATGAAAAGGGAAATAATCTGAGATGAAATGGTGCTGTCAATAACATGCTAACTAAGAATTAGGATATAGATCGTATGTCAACATTGTTCAGTTACACAAGAGACTGTGTGATCAGTTTCAACAAAAGATAAAGAGATTTTGGCAACAACTAAGTACAAATTGTTTGAGGTCAACAATTCCAACGATTGGGCATAGCTTGGAAAAGGTACAAGGAAATTACAGTAGTTACAGCAAACTCACCAAGATTGGCACCAACGAGCAAACGATCCTCCTTAGCTAAACTCCAATGGCTCTGCCTTCCCTTCCTGCATGGGAGGAAGAACTTGCAGGTAATCAGGATAATGTCTATTAATAGAGGAAACATTGGACGCCTCATCTTAAGAGAGAGAAAGACAGGAAGGTGCGATTTATTTTTGGGATGTGGTCCTGGAAGTTATCTGATATCTTTTCTTGAACTATCTGAATTTTTTTTTCTCAAACTAAGTTATCTGAAAATCAATCTCTCCATCTAGAATCTTGTTGTTTTTCTTGATGAGAGTACCATTTTTTAGGGTTTCCTCAAGTTGGCCATGACAGACACAAATGCAACTCGATATTATTGACTCATGCTGTCTTGCATGTCTGATGATAAGCAACCAGGAAGATCCTTGCACCGATCAATCATCCTGGTCGAATGACTATTGTTTGGCACAAGTTAATCTAGAAAAAACTAATCCTAACAATAAACGATACAACTTATGTCCTTTTCCAAAAGACTCCCTCCGTTCCAAATTGTAAGTTGTTTTGGATTTTCTAGATACATAACTTTTACTATGTATCTAGACATAATCAGAATGACTTACAATTTGTAATGGAGGGAGTACTAACTAGTACTATAGTATATAGAAGAAGAACCCTAAATTCAGTGATGCCTTGATCATCTGATTTTTTCGACATATTTGGTGTAGTAGTGAACCTTACATCGGTAAGGGTATCTGGAAGATCACATGGCGTATAACAAGCGTTAAGGAGTACAAGTGCGAGTCAACTAAACCTCCAAATAGAAGGTACATATGTTTCCTTAATTATATCTCTGATCATGGTTTGAGTTACAAGGATATAAATATACCATCAACTTAATTTAACATAAATGAACATACAGTCTGGGCAACAGCATCAATACAACTAGATGACACTTATTAGGTTTTTAGTCAATAGGAACTTCAACCTCCATCTTGAGCTCAGAACTGCCAATAATCTGAAAATAAATACCAAGTTTGTCAAGGAAAAAAATGGTGCTTCCTTCCAGCTGAAATAGTGCAATACAGATGTGCAGTGGTTACATTGATGCGTCATAACTTTATAAGTGAATATCATAGAATTTACAAGGTATATCAAAACAAAGAAATTGTGTTTAAAACGAATAGTTGCTTTATGTATTTCAGAATATAACAAGCAATTCGTTTGGACTATCCTTATCATATGGTCACACACTCACACTGTTCATTGTTTGATTTACTGCATAACAATGCATAATGTGCAATTGTGCATGTGTTGTGAATATTTGGCCAAGATAAGCTAATGGACAATAGCAGGTGGCAGATGATAATGCCTAAATTTGGTTATAAAGGTATTTGCAGACAGCAGATGTCATAACAAAAACGTTTCGTTCATTGATTTGATAGTATGCAAGCAGCAGCAAATGGATAAGAAGAGTTGAACCTTGTCTGAAAAATGTACATTTGAGAAGATAACTGTCACTTGTACAGACAGTGTATATATGTTACATTGGAAGCCATCAGCGTGTATTCGATAAAAAAAAGGCACCAATAATCCAACATTGAGATCTTCATTCAGAAAATATTATGAACCCTCCTAATGCTTAAATATGTACTTTGTAGACTGTTATATTGATTTTTTTCACAGCTTTACAAATAATAAAGCTCTTCCACAGAAAAATCACTCCTTCGAATAACAGATTTGAAACAACATGTGTTCCAATACTTGCTAAGTTGCCATAACACTTACTGAGTGTAAGGAATAGTATCACAGCTAGATTCAGTTTTGTAACTGCCATAAACTTATGAGCATACTTTAAGTTAAATCAGTCAAAATGACATAGTAGCTTCTGATACCCATAAAGTAATTTTTTATGCCCAAAGTAGATTATGAATGGTGATAATATGTTTATGACTGAGTAAATTTACCTGTTAAAGGAGAAACAAGCTTACCTTCACAAAGTCTGGGAGTGTGAAATGTGAATCTTTTGTGTACCCAGCTTCTTCTAACACATGAGTCAAGACTTTCTGTAATGAACAATAGGTACCTTCAAGTGAGCATATCCAGAAAAGACTAATGCAGTCATGCTAACTCGCGCTTAGGCGGCGGAGAGAAAAAAGGAAGGGGGGGGGGGGATAATACCAAAAAGGCGTGCATCTGAGTGCAGAGAGCTCCCGCCTGCAAGGGTCTGGGAAGGGTGTGTAAGTGGCAAGCCTTACCCTCGCCTGTGCAATGCGAGGAGACCGCGACTCGAACCCGGGACCTTCCGGTCACAGGCGGTAAGACTCTACCGCTTGCACCAGGCCTAGGTAGAATCTTCTAAAGCTACTGTACCCAAATTACGCAATCTTAACTCCAGGAAACCATATCCTGCCGCATGGTGGCAATAGTGCCTTTTTCTGGGGGAGAAAGAAAGAGATAATTTGCAGATAAACTCTTTGCAAAAGGCATCATGTTTTACTGAGATAACTTCTCAGCTGAAACGATCTAGAAGTTCATGCCCATGCAAGAAGTCCACGCATGAATAACATGACTAATTAATCACCGGCTAAAAGCAATATGTGAAAACATGCGGTATATCCAGTATTCCAGCCATTCAAGAAGCTGATGGAATCAAGTCAAGATTATTAATATGTTTTGCTATGTCGTGTGATAACACAAGAAGGAACCAGAAATCCAGAGTACAAACCTGTCTCTGTTGCTCTGTCATAAATGAACCTGTGAGATCTCGCAAGATGCTCAAGATGTCATCAAAAGCAACCTTCCCGTTGCAGTCAGTATCATAAACCTTGAAAATAACTGGAGAGGAAATAGCATAATCAGGCACAAAAAGGATTCGAAAGAACATCCACACTACATATTGGACAAATAATGGAGAATTTTAATAGGAATATGATACCTACATTCAATCTTTTGCTGCGGGCTTGTGCGGGGGCTAAAAGCCGACAAAAATGCTACAAACTCCTTGAAGTTGAGCCCATCCAGCATCCTCAGGAGCCTCTGATATAGAACAAAGCAACCTTCAATTGCAAATTATCAGGGAACAACACCTCCTTGATCACACAATTCACTTGCTCCAGCCAAAACCCTCAACGCAGCATGGTCTCTAGACATTAGCATACTCGACCAATCCGAGGATATTGTCGGAATGGAGGAGAGTGGGTGAGAGTTCAGCGGTAGGTGGGGGCAGTACCTGGGAGAGGGGATTTACGGCGAACTCAGGGACCGACATGAACTCGTCAGCGGAGACAAAACCACCTCCGTTGCGGTCAAGCTGGCAGAAGCGATGGTACAGCGACACGATCTCCTGCTGCGAGACTAGCGCCCATAGCCGCGGTGCATCAGACTAGATCAGACTAGACCGGATCAGGGGAGCGAATTAGGCGTCAGAGTTAGCGACTCACATGCGTGGTTACAATGGTCCTGGACCTCCTCGATGTCATATTGGGTGAGCATAGAGGGAGTGCTCCCCATCTCGGCCAGACCGCGGGCGGCGGCGGCGGCGGAGGAGGAGATAGCCGGAGCCGGGCGAGGCGACGATCCTGGTCGGGGGCGGAGATGGCGAGGCGTGACGCAATTTCCTATCTGGACGTGACATAAGAAATGCAACCATTGGAGTTTTTGGGCTTGGGCCGACACCGTGACCCCATCAAAGAATGGATGTGCACGTAAAAAATCAATATTACCTCCTCAACTAACCTGACAAAACACCTCCCTCCACTTTTAAAACCATTCATCTTACCTTCATAACCTATTATAAACAGTTTTGAACGTGGTTCTGTTTTTTTCTTTTTTTATTTATTTTGACTGAATTTTTGAAAAATCATAGTAAATCACAGAAAAATTATAAAATAAAAAATCTAATTTTGTTAGACTCCACATGAGTAGATCTATACAGTGAATATATAGTATGGTATGCTTTAGTACAAAGATTTTGCTGTGGCTTTAGATCTATGTTTTCTATAATTAATTAAAATAATTCATTGCTGCAGTTCTATGGTCCAATTGTGATGAATTTTTTATGATAGTCTAACTATTGTATAATTGAACTGTAGTAAAAATTTAATACTTATTGGATCATATATGCTTAGTTATAGATTTATTTATATTTAACAAGCATAAACCTAAATAAAATCTATAACTAAATTATACATGATCCAATGAGTATGAATTTTTTAAGTACAGTTTAAGCATATAATAATTAGCCCACCATAAAAATTTCACCACAATTGAACCATAGAACTGCAGCTATGAATTATTCCATTTAATTACAGAAAAGCATAGATTTAAAGCGACAACAAAAACTTTGTACTAAAGTATACCATATTATATGTTCACTGTGTAGATCTACTCATATGAAGTCCAACAAAATTGAATTTTCTATTTTATAATTTTTTTTGCGATTTACTATAATTTTTTAAAGATTTAGTCGAAATAAATAAAAAATAAAAAGACAAAACCACCTTCAAAACCGCTTATAACCGGGCCAGGGAGATAAGGTGAACAATTTTAAAAGTTGAGAGGGGTTTTTTACCTGGTTTTGAAGTTTAGGGAGAAAAAATATACTTTTATGAAAGTTGAGGAAGGCAATATAGATTTTTTTCGGTACGTTATGGCAATTATGGGCCATGGCCCATTTTCTTTGAGGCAAGAGAATCTAAGCAGCGTTACTTCCGCTCAAAAAAAATCTGAGCAGCGTTACTAATCAGCGATCGTTCACTCTTTTTAACACAGCCAATGATCCGACATTCCCTTTATAAAAAAAGTCCGACATTCCCACGTTTTTTATTTGTGTTCTATTCCTCCGTAAGAACCTAATAACACGTTTTATCTTTTCTAAATATATAATTTTTAGTATTATCGGGTATCGATATTAGGGATACCCATAGCAAAAAGTTAGCGCCCACGCTGACTTTCTCGGATAACTCGAGACGTATTAAAAGGTCTCGCCCGACCCAAGGCCGCGGGCTCCGTCTCTCCCGACCCTAAGGACGCGGGTTCCGTCTCACCCAAAGACATGGGCTCCATCTTGCCCGACCCCTTGGGTGCGGGCTCCATCTCACCTGACCCTAAGGACGTAGTTTTCGTCTCGCCCAATGTCACGGGCTCCGTCTCGTACGACCTCGAGGACGCGGGTTCCATCTCATCCAACGGGGACACATACCGCCGCCAACCATTCCAGGTTCAAGAGTATGGGCCTGGATCAAAACTCTGATGCTAGGGAAGAGGCTGTCACGTCTCGATGTAACCCGTGGCCATGACGGGCCATACCCGGGGACTTACATCAAGAACAGTGTCGGACGTGCCAATGCTGTTTTGCCTAATCCTCGTACGGATGCTGGCAGACGTGTCAGTTCACCACGACGTCCGTCGGGACAGAGTGGAACGCCATGATCGGCAGATGATGCCTGCGCATGGCGCCAGTGACGAACAGGGCCACGACGTGGAGCTGTCCCAGTTGACATCTACAGGATCAACGGGACCCGCATAAAGGAGAAGGACTCGGCAACCCTGAAAACCTTCTTCTCTCTCGTTCTTCTCCTTTTCCTCCTCTGTAACCCGTGCTTTCCCTTCGCCTATAAAAGAGGAAGCAAAGCGCCCCATGATATGGGAGATCGGGACACAAGAGGACAACACGAGCACACGGCTGAGCGGCAAGCGAGCTCTCAGCACCCGTTCACTCCTTCCACCAGAGACTTAGGATCCTCTCCCTCTCTCGCCTATTTGTAACCCCTACTACAAACCAAGTACCGGTAACACGAGTAGAAGCAAACTGGACATAGGGACGTTTCGCCCGAACCAGTATAAACCCTTGTGTCCTCCGAGCACACCATCCGAGCCAAACGCGTAAATACAAATTTACTCGTTGGTGGTCTGAAAACACCGACAGTTGGCGCGCCAGGTAGGGGCTTTTTGCGTGTCTCGACGTCCAAATCAGGCCTTGGATGGCTAGTCACGGCGTCAGCTAGGTCCCGGGCACGCACGTGCGCTTCGGGCACCTAGACTTCATCGTTACAACGGAGGGAGAGTTGGCGCAGGTTCTCGCCGTCGTCCAGCCTCTCCACTCTGCCAGCCTCGACGCGATCACTGAGATGCTTAAGGAGCTACAGCTGCACGCACCGGAGGCTCGCACCCCTAGCAGCGACCAGCTCCTCGGCTTCGATTACCGGAGGCTAGAGCGTCAGCTCGGTGCCTTCCTGGGACCCTGACCGTCCCAGGAGGACCTACGCCGCCTCACATTCTCATTCGCCAATGTCATGACGCAGCTTGCCGAGGAGAGCCGCTCTCCTCAGAATACCTCATCCAGAGCGCTCCGACTGTGCTCCCGTTCGGTCTACGCAACGTCGCAGAGGCCATTGGCCACCTTGTGGCGCAGCGCACGCCCCCATCCCCTACGAACGACGAGTTCATGGGAATGACCGAATATGTTGCGGAATCTTTTTATGACCTTCTCGCGAGAGAATTGAAGTCGCCCTCTGACTCTAACTCTAGCAGGGGGAGGCATCACCCCTCGCGAGAATGTTTTATGGCAGGTACCCCCAAGGGATACATCGAAAGCATCCACGAGGGAGGGGCTACCCCAACAGATGACCTCGACGACGAGGTCGAGGGGGATGTAGGGGCCCCACCTTACCTGTGGGTAAAGCAGCTGAGGGCGCAGCACCAAGAGCTCGAAGAAGCACGACTTCAGCTCGAGCAGAAACGCGCGGAGCTCGAGCGAGAGATCGAGCGCCACGGAGACGGTGGATGTGCACGCGCCATGGCCCGCAACGAGAATCGGAGGATCATCGAGGACGACAAAGCCCTCCTACACTTCACTCGGGCAAGCCAGAACGTCGCTGCCGCGTCAGCCTTGCTCCAGGGGCTTCCGAAGCCCGCGACACCTGAGCATCGTCGGGCCCATCGCGAGATTCGCATGCTACTCGAGCGTGCAGCGACGCAGCAGGCCGAGAGCTCGCTGTCCCAACGACGTGAGCTCGACGCCAGCCAGCGTGCGCCCTCAGAGCGACCCGGCAGGGATGTGTCAGTCCACCAGGTGCAGCGAGATGGTAGGGCACGCGCCGTGGCCTCGGTGCATGAGCATCTCAGCCTCCACCGCAACACGCGCAACACCCTGGATGCCCACAGGCGTGCCCACGACTATAAGAGGGAGGATGTTGACGAAATCTGGTCGGCAGTCTACCGAGGGGTATACCCATGGTAGTAGATGAATCAATGGAGGTACGTGTGATATGAGCCAGATGGTAACAGAGACACAAGATTTATATAGGTTTAGGCCGTCAGCATGACGTAAAACCCTACATCCTGTGTTCTGTTATTTTGTATTGATTGTATATCAGATTTGATATATCGTCTAGGGGGTCCCTACCTCTCCTTATATACTCTAGAGGGGTAGGGTTACATGAAAAATATCCTATTTGGTATTATACAATAAATCACATCTTCATATAGTCTTGCGATGCACGCCTTGATCTTGTGGGCTGGGCCACCTTTAGGGCGCGACCCATGTCTTGTCTTATGGATACCGGGGGCCATACCCTCACAGCTAGTCCCCGAGTGCCTTATATCCTTTAAGCAACGCTGTCTTGAACAAGTCCAAGCAGTTTGACGTGAAGCCAATCAGTTTAACTGGTGATCCGAGCAGTGGAAGTTGAAACCGACCAGTTTAACTAGCGACCTAGGTGGTGAAAATCAAAGCCGACCAGTTTAACTGGTGACCTGGGCGGTGAAAATCAATGCCGACCAGTTTAACTGGTTAGGAGACCTTGGACTTAGCCAAGTATGGTTTGCTAGAAGGATGTAAGGGGCTCAAGATAAAATTTGAAAATTCTTCCACTTAGGAGGAGTGTAGCCACTTAGACTCCATCAATAAGGAGGGTAAATCAAGAAATAAGCACTACGTTCACCGCCAGGTGAAGTGTAGCCACTTAGTCCCTGAGCCTGCTGGAAGATGAAGAATGAATCTTGTAGTAGGGTCAAAGAAAAGAAGTGTGAAAGCTTACCGACGTCATCCGATATGCGCGTATCAAGACCCCAGACTTGTTGCCCAAGATCAGCACCCTGATCCGAATAGCATGGAGCAGCTTGATAGCACACCGATGAGACGTAGCAAGATCCAACCACCAAGGGAGTCTCCAGCTTAGCTAGCGACGCTTGCATGAAGAATCCGAACACCAAGAAGTCCCCAGCTTAGCTAGTGATGCTTGCACGAAGAATTCGAGCACCAAGGAGTCCCCGGCTTAGCTAGTGACGCTTACACAAAGAGTCTGAGCACCGAGGAGTCCCCAGCATAGCTGACGATGAAGCACGAGCGACGAATAGCCTGGCTAACTGGTCGGTGGCGAAGTGAGCTCCGAGCAGGAGTGAGCGCCCAACAGGAGTGAACGCCGAGCAGGAGTGAGCACCGAGCAATAGATTGATTTCTCCAAACGTCGAGGAGTCCCCAGCTTAGCTGGTAAGTCCCCAGCGCAGAT